GGGATTTCTGCGCATAAAGCCTTGTTTGAACTCTCTCTTATAATGCGATTGCTTGCGGCGCTCATACTTGAAAGCGCCTAACACATGCGGCGCTAAAAGCTGTTTTGTTTCCAAGCCAAGGAGCACATGCAGGAGATGAAGAAGGAGCTGGACTCGCTGCTGCAGACGGCGGAGAAGGCGTTGGCGGTGGAGCTGCTGACGATGCCAACTGCCGTCAGGAAGATGAAGAGGAAAGACTTGCTCAGTAAGTGTGTCCGTGGCCCTGGACGTGCGAGCAGTGCCCGTGACCAACGGGAGAAAAAAGTTTTTTGCTCTGAGGGTGGTGAGACACTGTCCCAGGTTGCCCAGGGATGTGGTGGCTGCCCCGACCCTGGTGGTGTTCAATCCAGGCTGGATGAGCCTTGAGCAACCTGAGCTAGTGAGGAGGTGTCCCTGCCCAGGGCTAGATGATCCATTCCAACCCCTAAATCCTATGAAAACCTGTGAATTTAGTGGCTTTTATGAAAAAGTTTGCTTTGTTTGGTGAGTATTCTAAGCTAATCAGCAGTGCTGTTACCCTGCAAATGCTCACTGAGCACTCTAGTCCAAATACACTGACATGTGTAACACAGGGGATAGAATTTGTAGCTAACAGTGAATGCTTTTTTTAATTAAGTGTCCTGTTAAGTTGTCTTATTTAAAGCCTGAAGAGCCAAGGAGTAGTTACAAACCTAGTGCTTTCTGTGCATGGACACAGCACTCCTGACAATCTGCATCTGTTCCTCCCAGCCACAGGTTATTTTTTCTTTATCAGTTTGAAGTCTTTTACTACTGAGCCTTTCTTGTCTAGTTGTTTACCTGTGTTGATGAGCAAACAAGTTTTTAACCTCACATCCATGCAGCAGTTTAAGATGTGGTGTCCACTCAGCATCAGACAAACATTCTGATGGGAACTGAGGTTTTTAGGCTCTGCCTTTGCAGCTGCAAATTGCAGGAGCCACACAAAGGTCCAGCCTAAGGCTCTTGAAGAACCTGAGTTTACTGCAAGCCTGAGTATGTATTTTGATGTCTTTCTTCTGCCTAACAGTGTGAGCTTTCTGCAGCACACTGTGTGCATGTGGTTCTTTGTTATATACACTCTGTGACTACACTCAGTATCCCCTCAAAGATTAAACATCCTGAAATGGCCTAAGTTTTTCATGGTTGTTTTGTAGGAGTGACTATCCTACAAGGCTTGAATCTTGTTCAAATGCAATATATATGCTAACTGAGGTTAACTATTTAAGCCACTGTAATCCTGAATTACTTGTTCAGCCTCTTAGCCCATAAGGTAAGAGCCTGAGGATGAAAATCATGCAAGTTGTATTATCTAAAAAACTAAACTTTCCTGGGTTACAGATCTGCAAGGAGGAGAGGAACTGGCTCTTGCTGCAGTGGTAAGTGTGTGTTTTCAAAGTTTGTCACAGTTTGCAGAATAGAATTCCTCTCTCTCTGCTGGAAATATTCCTGCCAGATTATTTTATTTGGCTGTGTGTTTCAATAGAAGATGGCATGAAAAGACTGTCGAGCCAGCCATGGTGCAGTTAGGAGCATTACCTAAAGTTTTAAGGTCATCTGCTGGCAGAAATCCAGGTGTTTCTGAAAAAATAAATGTGTTTAGCCAATCCCACTTCTGCCACTTGCTTTTGTGCCTCTTTAGCTCAACTGCCTTTTGTAACATAGTATTAATTTCCTGGGTAAAATCTGTTGACCTGCCCTTGTTGGATAAATTGTTGTTTTAGACTGACTGCTCTCTAGAAGATGTACCAAATCCCAAACTGGTGAAGAGCAACAGCAAAAGAGGCAAGTCAATCCATTAATATATAGCTTGTGGTTCTTAAATTTTCTTTATTTTATGGGTTTGAACTGAGCTTTGGTAAAGTGAGTGTTAAGCCTGAAGAATACAAGAGGGAAAAGTGTGTAACATCCCCCCCAGCATTCTGTGTGTTGGATCACGAGCTGTGCTACTCTTGGAGTACTTCAAAACATGAGATGAGAGTTCTTGCCCTTTGCATGTATCACTGAAAACAGGGAGAAGAGACAGATTTAAGTGACTTGTCAGTGCTTTGCAGTATAGCAGAAGAGCTGGGAAAGTCACCTCTCTTTTCTTAGTTTCTTAGTTTCCCCTTTGTCCTTCTGCCCATAGAGCTATGTAAGAAATATCTTCATATAAGAAGCTATGTAAGAAATATCTTCATATCCCAAAATGTGCAATAAGGAAGAACATTTTTCTTCATATCCCAAAATGTGCAATAAGGAAGACTCTACCCCTGGGATGTAATTCTGTTTTGTCTGGGGGTAAGGGAGTGTCTGGTGTGTTTTGGCTGTCCTGTGTGTCACATGGTTTGCTTTGAACCGTGTCCCAGGTGAATGACCATGGGGTAGCAGAAGTGCTAAGTAGCTGTCAGTGGGTAAACAGGCTTCAAACCTGAGTCTGAAGTGTGTTTTGTGCTCTTCATGAGATGCTTATTTCCCTTGTCTTGCTCATACATTTCTAGTTAAGGTAACTACAATTGTGGAATATCAAGATGCCAAGCACGTTTCTGCCAAGAAAATCTCTAAAAAAGTAAGTTTATTCTGGTTTTATTCAAAAAATATAAGGGCTTAGTCAGTTGTGACCTGCCAGGCCCATGCCTGGGCAGGCCAGTGACCTGCTGTTTGAAAAATCAGCCACTTCTTTTAACTGCAGTCTTACATATACATTTCCAGATTTCCAAAACCAAGTCCTTGGTTTCGTTGCCCTCGGATTTCAATGGCAAACTGAGCCCTCTTTCTAGGTAAGACTGACCTTTGATAGCTTATTTAGCTCACCTGAACTTGTGAGTGCTGAATAAAATTGTTTTGAAACTAAGTAGCTGAGATTTGAGCCCAACAGGAACATAAGTGATAAAGGGATTGTGCCATAACCCTAATGAGATGCACTGCAGTGATGTGAACCCTGAACAACAAAGCACCTCTGGCTGGTGAAGGGATGTAGTTGTGTCTCTCTCACTGAAGGTTTACAGTTCTGAACTTAGGTGATCAGTGCAGATTTCCAGACGATGCAAAGGAGTGTGTAGGAAATGCATCTTTGCTCTTTTGGGACTAAGGAATTGTTCTGTCTCTTCTCATTGCAGTGCCACAAATTTGAAATCCACTCCAAAAGCATCCAAAAGGTAAAGGGAGTTTTGGTATGTTCTTAGTAAATGATTTTGTTAAATATTATCAATCTAATATGAATAATTATCCATCTAGATTTAATAGATCTTCATGGTTTGCTACTGAATTTGGCAGTGGGATGTGAAGCAGTGACACCCCCTGCTCTGAGTGTGGTTAACTTTCTCATGGAGGCACAGGATTTGATGTCCTAACTCAGTTTTTTTTAAAAAAACTATTTAGAGCATAAATTCTACTCTCACTATTTATAGGTTTACAGCTCAGACTCCAATTCTCCGAGCCCAACCTTGATTAACATGTCCCAAATACTGCTGTGTTGAAAAAACTAACCCCACAAAACCCTCAACCAAATACACTGATCATCAGTTCTTTGCATATTGAACAGTTAAGATTGTCACTGTCATTCTCCTACAGAGTTTGGCTTTGACACAAGTCATCAGCTGAAGTGAGGGGGTGAAAAACTTAATTTCAGTGGATCCTGAAACCAGCAAGTGGCTCAGTTTCACCTGGGCCTGCTGTAAGTGTCAGAGCTTTGTTTCCATGTGGAACATAGCCAGACTGTACAGTTTTTCAGTAGAGAAAGGATCAGATACTGAAAGCTTAGGAATCTGTATGGCATGAGGCATTCCCTGCACCAGCCTTGGCTTTTACTGCTCTCTCCCTGTAGGAGACAGATATAGCCTGTGTCTTATCTTAAGCCCTGAGGCATGAAGTTTCCTCTTTCCAAAACTGTAAACATTGACTGCTGATACTGGAGAGAGGATATTCTTGTCACTGGTCCAAATGTCAACTTGCTCCCTGGCCTGGAGCACAGGCTGAGGTTACTGCACTGTCAGGGTCACCAAATGTTACCTAGAGGTGCTTACTAAATGCTGCTGATGGTTGGAGTTCCTGTAGTCTTCTGGCACAACTGGGAGAATTTAAACCTGTCTTTCACTTAGGTGTATTTCCTGTCACTTGCATTTGCTTCATGCTTGAAAATTTCCAGCAGAGCTTAGGAAGTTAACCTCAGCTGAACCTTTGCATTGTATTCTAGTGCTGGATTCCCACAGAATGTCTCAAGAACTTTACCTACCAGTGGAAGAGTTCAAGGCATGTTGAAAAGAAGTAAATCAGTACCTCAAAATATAACTGTTCCATTTGTAAACATCCCCCTGGCTGATGGACAGGTATCTTTTTCTTTTAAAACATTTTCAACTTCCTTTTCAGTTGATCAGTGTGAATTGCCTGATAGTGACAGCTCTTACTGTTCCTGATGAGATGCTGCTGAACAGTTTTTGCAGTGTAGCAGGGGAAGCACATGAGTTCCAGAGAAGCTGAGCACTCATGTAAAACTGTTTCTCTTTGTGTTTAGACACTTTGCACAGCTCTCATGTAAAACTGTTTCTCTTTGTGTTTAGACACTCTGCACAGCTCTCAAGTAAAACTGTTTCTCTTTGTGTTTAGACACTCTGCACAGCTGGTGGAGACCTCTGTAATATCGATGTGCAGCTCCTAAATCGAGACACAGTGCAGCATATTCATAACTTGGTGGTAAGCTTAGATGCATATCCAGACACCTAGTCTGGGTTTCCCTGTGAGATGCTGTCACAAATGCCAAGAGCTTTAACTCTTTGGAGTCTAAGCTTAAACTGGAGGGAGGAGCAGGGAGGGGAGAACTGCTGCACACAGATGATGTGTGGAAGCAAATGCACTTAAATTAGCAGGGGCAGTTTGCTAATTGCCTGGGGGAACCTCAGGAGCATAAACTCTTCCTTGGGGATGGCTCTGGTGTCTCTCCTACTGCATGAGCAAACTGCAGTTCTCTTGTCTCCTATTCACAAAGGCCTACAAAGCTACATCTAGGTTTTGATTCTTGTTATAATCTACTATTCTGCATCCCTTGCTGGGTAAGAACTATACACCTGTTCAATTCTCTGCTGCAGTTCAATACCTTTGGTTCAGGGAAGTAAATGGTTCTGAAGCCAAATGAAGGGAGCACATAGTGCCTGACTCACCTGAAGATAAGGGTACCTGAGCTGTTGTTTGAAGTAAAGGAAATCTATCCAGAGATTAGAAATATTGCCCAGTTTACAGCTGTGCAGGTGCTGAGACTCCAGTGCAGCCTCCTGAGTGGAGCTCAGGGTCTGGAGGCTGCTCTGTGTTGTGTGACATGGACCTGCCCCTGCAGGCAGGGGGGAGTGCTTGCTCACTGCTTGCTTCAGCAACACTGACTTTGCTTTCTCTTTTCCCACGTTCTGTGGGGTAGCTTGAACTAAAATGAGTTTTTCTCCCCTTAAGAGTGAGCTGACTGTACTATGTGGAAAGGCAACAGCCAAACCAAGTTAATGGAACTGTCCTGTGACTGCAGAACGTGTGATGGCTCTTGCACGCTGGTCCTGAAGTGTTAATGATGTCTGTAATGTCCTAATAAAGCTGTGAACTGCCCAGTAAATGTTTTTAAAGGCCTTTACACCATGTGATGTGTCTTATTTCATCAGTTAACTACTGCAGTAACCATTGAAACCAAGACAGTGTAGGCTGTGACTGTGTGTGGAGTTCTGCACTACACCTGTGTCAAGGTGTACTCTTTGGAGTAGAGCAGGTGTATCTAATAGGGGCAGCTCTGGAAGAAGTCCCCAGTTAAGCAAAGATGCTGCTGGCAGGACCCTAAATGAAGCAGAACTAGCCTCCACACAGTGATCAGCTCCTCCTGTACCACTTCAGCATCCTAGCTGAAAAGTTACCATGAACCCCTTCCTCTCTTTCCCCCTCAAAGAAGCAATTTGAGATAAAAAGTTGAGAGTATATACCCTGTTTTCCAAGGAAGTGTATCTTAAAGCTACTACTTAGTGTTGTAATTGTGAGTGAATGGTGAAAACTTGTGGGAGAAAGCAGTGAGGAGAAAGGATCAGCAGGTAACCACAGCTTCACACAGCAACCTCAAGTTTCAGTGAAGGAAAATAAAAGATGCACTAGAGAATGCCACAGCATAAGTCAATACTGAAATACAGATCAAACAGTATTTATTTTTGCTTCATTTTTAGAGTCTATAACAAGAATGTTCAGCAACACTCAAATGCCAACACCTACCCAAGCACATGGAAACCCTTGGAGATTGTCCCTCCAACCTCATTGGTAAAGTGTCAACAACTATCTGAGCAATAATTAAACAAGTCACACTTCAGATTCGTAAAGAAAAGTAGAGCTTCAACTTTCTCACTTAAAGAGGGAGAGAAACCTTGCTATAGAGAGGCAGCTTACCAACCCAACACTTCATGCACAACAGTTCCTTAACGTAACAAAATGCTTAGATAACTACCTGTACCTGTTCATTAGTTAAGGTCACATTTTCACTTTGTTGTGGCATTTTTACCAGGTAAAATAACAAGAACTGAAGCTGGAGAACTTAATTAACTTCAAAACAAGGTGCAAACTACTAGAAAAGTAACAAAACCATCTACATTTAGTATGTTTCCTGGTCAAAAATGTTTGTCAAGTACAATACTAATCTCAATCTTTTACAAACTGTTAATGCAAGCACAAGTTGTCAGACAAGGTTCATTTTTACAGCTTTTTTTTTTTTGCTTTTTTTTTGTTAAACTGGAAACATTTCTTTAGGAAGTGAGGCTGAATCAGGCTTGGAATAGGATTGAAAGGCTAAGAGAAAAAGAGATCCATTATTTCAGAATTGAATCATTGTCCATTTTGGTATCTCAGCACTCGATTCAGGTATCCTGCTGTTTTCCTCACACCAAGGGGACATGGCTGCAGCCTTCCCTGTGCCCAGTCCCTCCTCCTGCAGGAGGAGACTTTCCTGTGGCACACAACTGTTACCTAACCTCAGCCTAGCCTTAAAGCAGCTTCAGCCTCCCTGTGTTTATAAATGTCTATCATCTACATAGTCTCTTCATACACAGACTAGTTAAAGCCACTGGAAAAGTAAGAGTTACAAGGCAAAAGGAATATATTATACACCAACTGCTTTTATTTAATTTCAGAAACCGTTCACAAGATGGTAGAAAAAACTTACAACCACTTCTAATTTAGTCTTTCATTGTTCCCAGTCAGCTCTAAACCCATTATGTGCAAAGCCCATTTACCATGCATCTAGATGATAGATACAGGCTATGAAATTCTTGATTCTACTTGTAGCAGCTTATGCAGGTGCAGCCAAATACCAAGCCTCAGGACAAATTGTACACAAACTTTACAATGTAGAATTCGAATTTAAAATATGAAACTTAAAATCTACACAAACTGGTAAAAATCAAGCACAGATACGAGGACAAACTTAAAACCCATGTGAAAAGGAGTCTCGTCTTCCTTTCAAGTGCTTTATTCTGCTACACAGTCAAAATGAAGATGTAAGCTTGTGGTTAGTTTAAATTACACTCTGGAGATACTATAGACCAATTTTAAAAGTTACACATACAGCAATAGATGTCCATTGGTTCATCTGGATTACTTATACAATCCAGCTGGATTGTTGAAAACAAGTCAGGCAAAATTTTGAAAGAAAATCCTTGTGCAACTTTTTAGACAAATGTTTACTGATGGGCACACTGTACCCCAGGTCCATGATGGCTGCTTTCTTCATCAGAACTATCATTGTAAGCTTCACGTCTCTGGCCACCACCTGAACCACGAGTGGTATCAAATTCTTGCAGATCTACCTCTTCTGCATCACCAATTACATTGGGAAATTCTGGTCTAGCTGGCAGAAGATCTTCAAGTTCCTGCCCCAAAAGAAGAAATGCATTCAGTGTTGCATCTACAACTGCTAAATAACCTGACCAGTTTCCCACAGCTTCAGGACACCTCCCTGAGTGGGTTTGGTTTACAAGGGTTTCCCACAGCTTCATGACCTCCCTGAGTGGGTTTGGTTTACAAGTCTGAGCTGATCAAAGCCCTCAAGTGCAGACCCATTTAAAAGTACTTGTATCAACTGAAGACACCACCTAAAGAAACTCACATGTCATCAACCCAAAGTGCCATCAATGAGTACAGCTGCACTCTGAGAACTTATCACACAGCAGCAGAAAGATTCTCCCTCCTGTCTGTGCAACACCAGCACAGCTCAAATACAGGCTCCATAAATTCACATTCCAGTGGGTATTTCCAACTAATGTGTTGCCCATCAAAAAAGCTGAAAGAACAATTGGTACTTGCATCTGAATTTCAGCACTGAAAACAAGCACAATGAGGTGCAGCACATGCACTGTGCACGCGTTGACAAGACACCACAGTGAGGCTTGAAAAAGTACTTACTGAAAGCTTTTCTGGGCTAATCCAGTTATTTTCAGGAAACTGGACATCAAATTTAATGTAGAGATCCCCCTTCTCAAAAGGATTACGGTACTGTGGCATTCCTTCACCTCTGACTACACGAACACAACCTGCAATGCAAAGACAAGAAAGCTGCAGAGAACAGTTCCTTCCCCACACAATCCTCTTGGTTTCCCCAGCCTGGGTTCAGCCAACAGGACAAGAAGAATGGCATTAAGGGTTAAAGAATCACAAAAGCATAAGTCAGAGAAATCCTCATCAGGTCAAGCTTACCTGGTTCAATTACTTTTCCAGGAGGGTATTTAACCACAATTTGGCGTCCATCAAGGTGCTTAAATGTGAACTGAAATCCACACAGTGCCTCAACCAGTCCAATCTTGTGTGTCATATGCAAATCATTCACATCCCGCTGGAACACCTGAAAAACAAGAACAGGAGATGTCTCTTCCAGGCCTATCATCACACCTCCACCAGACTCATCATTTAGAGCTCATTACTATTTATATACACCCTCCAAAGTCCATGTCAGAGCAAGAGCCACAGCCTCTGTGTGAAGTGATTCTGTTAATTCAGACAGCTTTAACATGCTTGAAAAGTCTGTGCCTGATGCAAGTGCCACCTAAGATAAGGCAGACCACACTGCACCCTCTGAGGCAACGTTCAAACTAAGCAGGAAGGTGTGTACAGCTGCAGTGCTCTTTCACCCCCAACATCTTCCACACAAGCAACCTATGACCAACACTTCCAACAGTTTGACACTACTCCCCCATGCTGGAGTTTGTGAGCAGCATCTTTGTTTCTCAGCTTTTACCACCAGGGTTCTCTACTTCAGCTGACCTGATCTACAGCAGGACCCTGATCAGGTAGTCCACAGCTGTCAGAAGTGATCTTTAAGCCACATTACTCAGGATTCTTAATCAGAATAAATCTTAGATTTAACCACTGGCAGAACCAGAACACTAAGTCTATCTAGTATTACTAAATAAAGTACAGTATTTTCAGGATTGGTAATACTGTGAAAGTAGATGTAGCCCATTAGAAGCCTTAAGGCAGGAGCAGCATCACCATCTGGAATGTGATGCCATGGTACACATGTGGCTGCTGTTTGCTCACAGGCTGTTTCTCCCTTATGACAGCCCAAACAGAACTGCAATGTCATGTTTCAACCAGTGTGACAGGAGAGAGAGAGAAATGTGTGAAGAGCTCTGCAGAACTGATTGACAGATCAGCAGTCCTTGACACAGTTTTGAAAAGCTTCAAAAGTACCTAATTATCAGATAACCAACATGATATTCTTACTAGATAACTGCAGTTTAAATCTGTACCCAATGCTATTCTTTCTGGCAAAACAGAACCTTCCCCATTCCATTCAACATTTCCCCCTGAGTGTAACACACAAACTCCTGCTTATTTCATCCCAGCAAAGCCTGGCACTTTCAGACTATAGCATTAAAGCAAGGAGCAATCACCTCAACTCTGCCCCAAGGGAGTTTTAACAGAGAAAGATAAATTGCAGTATTTAATTCCAAAGTGCAATGTGTATCCTCCAGAACACAGTGAGCACAAGTCTTCACAAACTAGTACAAAACAATCACGTTTCTGTTTTGTTAAGCGAATCAGCAACATCACCATTTTTTGTTATTTCCAGAACCACAGTGGCAGACACAGAAAGCACCATCTGGGCTATCAGGAGGTCCCTGCCGTGTCACAGGACATTGAAAGAAGCAACACTTAGCATTTTGTTAGTGTCACGAGCAAAGCAGATTGAAGTTAACATCCTGAATGGCTCTTCACTGCACCTACTGTATCAAAGCCAGTCCAGGCTTCCCTGAGGAATTACCTTTCACTAGCCCTGGGAAGCACCAGAATCTGCCTGTGCTCTGGCTAAGGACTTGCACAGGTTTTTCTGGCTCACCATGAGAGCCACATTCCATACTGCACGTACTGTATCAAAGCCAGTCTAGGCTTCCCTGAGGAATTACCTTTCACTAGCCCTGGGAAGCACCAGAATCTGCCTGTGCTCTGGCTAAGGACTTGCACAGGTTTTTCTGGCTCACCATGAGAGCCACATTCCATGCTATAAATCTATCAAAAGCTATTCACCATCTCTCCCAGAGCTGCAGCTGTATGAATTGCTCTGAATGAATGGCCACCTACAGAACTTACATATTAATGACTGGGATAAAAGGCATTTAAAAGATAAAAGCATTACCTCATTCTCCTTTTCTTGGAGTAAAAGGACAATATCACCTGGTTCCACACCTGGAGCCTGGTCTGCTTCTCCACTGAATGTAATTCTCTGCCCATGTTTCATGCCTTTGTCTACATGGACTTCAAGTATTTTTACCTCTTTGATCACCTTCTTCCCTTCACACTTTTTACAGCGATCTTTTTCATTAATTACTTCACCTAAACAAAGACAAATTTCGAGTTCAGAGATTTCCACATCATTGCATCCAATTCTGAAGAAAGACTCTTTTAAAGCAGGCTGAAGAATTTGTGCACCACAACTAGTGATTTGATGTTGCTTTATGAGTTCCTCACAAGAGGAAATCAGGCTCAATTTACCCGAGCTGGGAGAGGGGGAAAGGGAGAAAAAAAGGGGGAGGTGTCAGTAAATAACAACAGAAGTACACATAACCTTCCAAGGTGTCTTATTAGGGATTTAGAGAATGGCAAAACAACAGTCTGTCTACACTGCAAGTGCTCCTCAGTCTCAATACAATTGGCTTCAGTAGCCTTACCATTCACTACTCTTAAAATCAATGCAAAGCCTACACTTTTCCATTCCTTGCCACGCTAGGAATAACACAGGCTAAAGCCAAACTGAAGCATCTCCTCACCCTTAAAAATCAGGATAGAAATTTCAAAGAGTTTCCAAGAATTTAGGAAGCTCAGTTCCCCTTCTGTTAACAACAGGATAACTGGGTTCTGTTCCCTGACAGCTCCATTTCCAGCACCTCCCCACAACCAGCACTGTGTGAACACAGCCAGCAGGACTGGAGTCCTGCATACACAGCATGGGAAGAGCTGGTCAAACCCCAGTTTGGTGCAAGAGCAATATATAGGATTTCCCAGGGAAACAAGCTAAATGTCTTGGCACAGAAGGAATTTCACTTCTATACACTGAAGTTTTTCACATTTTCACCTCCAGCAAACTGAAGGATGACTATCCAAAATAGAGAGAATTGACTCTGTTCTTCCTCACCTTTCCTTTTCAAGTGAGCTATTGTCTCTGTACAGAGTAACCAAAGGACTGGGCCACATGCACTGTACAATTTCAGTACTTTTTTCCAGTACTGCTCAAAGTGCCACAAGCATATGCACTTGGCCTAAAACATTAAACTTCTCAGCTTAAACCACCTTTGTGTGAAACAAAGCATAACGTGATGATGCAGTTGAAACAACCAAGTATGTAGGTTAGGTATGTGAAATGGGAGAACAAAACACTTAAAGACAACATCACTTATGAAATGATTTGACTAGTCACAAAATACAACTCTTTGCAGTTTCTGAGCGTTGTGAAGAGTAAAATCATCCACCAGGTGATGTTACTGCTCTGCAAACTGCAGAAGACCTAAAAAGAAATCCCACATGCTGAATTTGTTCCCTCAAACAGAACCAATTCAGCCAAACCTATCTTCTTGTTTTGAAGAAGTTTAAAAAATCAACTTCAGGTTTCCATTTTTAACGTTTTTAAACTGTCCTTGGATATCAGGAGATGCAAAAAGACAACTCCTAACCCAGCAAAATCTTGGGGTTTACTTTAACAGTAATATTCACATCTCAGCAGTTTTAAAAACAATCAATCCCTACTGTTCAAGCTCCTAGGCTGCTTTTCAGTACATTAAACACTGCAAATCTTGCTGCTGTGGAGTAAAATGATCTCTCCGTGCTGACATCAGATTGAGGCCCAGCTGAATACATGGGGGCAGAGCTGGCCTGGATAAGTTCCTCCAGAGATTTAACCAGGAAACCAAACACATTTAGCAGCACGGGACAGCTTGGCCTACCTTCTCCATTGCAGTCAGAGCACACAGACTGCATCTGCTGGACCATTCCAGGAGCCAACTGTCTGATCATGATGCGCACACCTCTGCCCCGGCACGCGTTGCACTTCTGAACAGATCCAGCCTTCCCTCCCTGCCTGCAACACAAAGCACCAGTGGCACCACAAGAACATCCAACCCACCCCCCACACCAGCAGGTTAAAATGCCTCAATCCTAACTGCCCATTAGAATGAGGCTCTCCCCCCTCCCCACCTCCCACCAAAGCCCTTGAATAGCTCCAGTCCCATCAACAGCACCATTCAAGTTCAACAATTTGCTAGTCTGAAACCTCCAGCAAGTGAAACACTGATCAAGATCTGACACGGGAGATCCTTCATTACACTAACTGCCAACAAAGCAACCAGAGAACTCAAAAACACAAACAAACTTACCCATTACACGCACTACAAAGGACATTCTTGCTAAGTTGTAGTTTAGTTGTCTTTCCATTATACAGATCTTCTAAAGAGACTCTACAAAACAAAGCATTTCTCCTGGGTTACCATTTACAACTTACTTTCCCCATGTAATTAAAATACTTGCCTAAGACAAATCAAAGAAAAGCAGACCTTCATAAAAAGACTCAATCTGCTATTAAAATAAGATTGTAAAGCAGCATTTTGGCTTTCACACAGAGTTAATATAAAAATATTCCATACCTACCAATACACACTTGTAAATCTGAACAGAATTTGAGAGAAAAGCTGTCATTTAATCAGAAGAAACCAGATAGGATTGTTTGTGTTTCCCAACAGGAAACTAGCTGAGCTAGCATTTTAGGTGCTATTATGTAGTCAGAGCTAATTTTTTTCAGCTCTACCAGGCAGGTGAGAAACAAACCTCTCTAGGCAGTCCAGAAAATATTTATGACATAAATACATAAGAACACATATTGAATACTTACTACTGTGTTGGGTTTCCACACAAGAGTTTAGTGGGGAGGGTTAGCATGTCCCCAAGGCTTCTTAATGCTTTAGATTTGTTCATATTTTCATTTTTTTAAGAAGCTCTTGCATACACTATCAAACTCTAATAACCATCATACATTGCTAGAAGACTCTGTACACATATTTAGTGTTTCTCCTAACAGGGTTTGTTAGTGGATACAAATTTCAACTCAATGTATTGAGGAAATGCTTCCTGACATCAGTCTTTACCAACAACAACAAAATCAAAGCTAATTAGTAACACAGCATGCAGTACTAGCTATTGAACTAAGCAAGCATGTAAAATTAAATGTATTTTACTAAGCACAGTTTGCCAAATGCAGGAAAGATGTAGCTTAACTTAGGAACTTAGAAAGGACCTGCTCAGCAGGCAAAAAGCCAGTCATGACTGCAAGGAGAGATCTACAAAACACAATTAGATGTGACATTCAAGAACAGCTTTGAAAATATACAAACCCAAACCCACCACACACACTCTTCCCTTTACTATGAGTTTCAACCCTAGTTCCAGCTGGTACTGCACTAAGTCTTTCCAGAGCACCTCCACTTGCCTAAGAGTCCAGCTCATGAGTAACACTTAGTTGCTGAAGGGTTTTTCAGAAGAGAATTACCAAATATAACTAAGGAGCGAAACAAAAAAAAAAAAAGCTAACCAAGTACATACAATCTAATGAACCTAGCCAAAGGAAGTATTAAGTGGCCTACAGATGACCCAACCATGAAAAGCAGCTCAAGATGAGTGCCTCCTGCCCCAAACACAGCACACAGGGCTGAACAGTAGTGCACACTCCAGAGTATCTTAAGTGAGCAGCAAATCAAGAGTGGAAACTAGCAGAGGCAAGAACTGATCAGGAGAGCTCCAAAGGACAAACTGCAGTATCGAGGTACTCACTTGAGTGGATGCATCATATCTTCTCCTCTTCTTCTGCCATTACGACTTCTACTCTGACCTCCCATGAAATTGAACAATCCACCACCAAAGATATGGGAGAAAATATCGTCCATGCCACTGCTGCCACTGCCTTCCCTCAGGCCTTGCTCCCCATAGCGGTCGTACAGCTCACGTTTCTCGGGGTTGGACAAGACTTCATAGGCAAAGCTTATTTCTTTGAACTGCAAGAGGAACAGTCAGAACAGGCATGAGATTTTACAACTTCATGGGAGCATTTCACTCGTTCCTTGCGCATGAGAATTTACAACATCATGGGAGCATTTCACTCGTTCCTTGCCCAGCATGAACTTCCAGTTAAGAAGGTACACAATGGAACAGTTCTCCAGCCTCGTTCTAATATGACTTACTCTAAGCAAGGCTTAAAAGTCAGACTTGGGCTTAGCTGTGTTACCTCTTAACAGAAAATATGATGTTTTAGTGCAAAACTTGGTTGACTTTTTACTGTATCTAACATAAACCAAATTTCTTACAAATAAAAAAAATGTAACACTCCTGAAGAAAACCACCAAGTGCACAATACTGCAGATGCCACAGGCACAATACCCAACAGAGTTACAGGCTAATGGCAAAGACTTCAAGATATGTTAGGCACTTAAAATACACCAATTAAGTAACTTATTAAAATGTATATTAATGTGTTTGTCCTTATAACAACTTAGTGTCTTTTCACAGTCATCCCAGCTCACCTCCAGGCAGCCACTACAACTTCAATTTTCTTACAGACATCCAGCTGAGTCAACTTAATTGACAATTCCTAAATTGCTTTTAGCATAACAAATCTGATTCAACCTTCCCACAGATGTAATTTGGTTTATGCTGCAGCAGTTTCAAGAACCTCTACACATACAGTTTCCCATGCTGGAAAAACTTGGAAAACTGACCACCTTCTGCAAATACCCACATAGCTGCCAAACCAGCTGATTCCATCTCAGCAGATCAGGGAGGCAGTTCTTCCCTCCACATCACCTTCTCAACCAATTTGACTCAGCCAAGTGCTGCACCTTGTCACGAGGTGCACTGGCAGGTTTTGAGACTGGGAAGTTGACCAGAGAGAGTTCCCTCTCACAGTTATTGTTTCTTAACAATTTGAGCAATAAGCCTGCACTCAGTTCCTTAGGTGCTACTGTAACAGCAAATTTAAAGCCTTTAAACAAAGAAGAATAAGTCTTACTTTGTCTCCTGCATTTGGATTCTTATCAGGATGGTATTCCTTGGCCAGCTTTCTGTATGCCTAGTTGAAAGAGGGAGAAAATTAGTTTCAATTCTGATTAATCAGGTTTTTTTCTGAGAAACTCAAGTCGTGCCCCCAGAAAGAAAGGAAATCCAAATAAAGCAAAGTGGAAAAACTACAGTGTTTCAGAATCACTCATACGCTGAAATGATACATGAAAAGAGTTCTGACATGGCTACATGCATAAATTAACTACACTTGGATTTAAACACAGCCACAGCACACAATAGGTGAAACTTGTTTTTTTGCTTATCTTCATTAGGTGACAGAGAGGACCCCATTGGACTTCCATTAGAATCCCTTACTCTCCAAACCTACACCACCACAGCAAATTTCCCCACGTGTCTGTCCCTCAATCACAGTACATGACAACAAAATGGCTGCCTCAGCTTCTCCTTCCCCCTGACAACCAGCCCTCACATCAGCACTTTGTTCCTCCTCACCTGCCAAAAACAGAAGGTTTCACCTCGCCTGGAACTAGGGATGTGGGTGACACGTGCAGAAATGTACCTACCACTGCTTTTATTTCACTGCACTGCTCTAAAACAGGAAAAGGAGTAAGTACAGCCAAAGCTCCAGAAGAGATTTTTCAGAACACTTTCTCTGGTTTTGATCAGTACTGTGACCCTCAGGACCATCCCTGTTTCTCCAGCATCTAAACTAACTCTGTAGACCGACAGTGTTACACACAAAGCTTCAGAGATTTCCTCCAGCAGTACTTCATCTTGAGGGGACCAAAGCAAACAGCACAACAGGCTGAGACTCTTCCTATGCCTTGAGTTTCTGACAGTGAAGACCTCAACTCTCCCCCACTCCATCTCAATACCCCTCAGAAACACTCAGGGGACAGTAACAAACTACATTAAACACAAGCTTTTATTTTCTCAGTTACACATAATATAAAAAGCTTAAATGATGCAACTGCAAAAACCTGAAACATCAGTTTTTACAGGGGATTTTCCAAACACTTTATTTCTGCCTAACTGAGCATCTAAACTAACTCTGTAGACTGACAGTGTTACACACAAAGCTTCAGAG